CCGCATATGTCGTAGCGCGTGCCCTTGGCCAGCTGAGCCAACTGCCACCGCTCGGCGCCCCGCGTGGCAATCCGCCTGACCGCCCAGGGGGAGTGCGCCGCCAAGTTGAGCTTCTCGCCCGCGTCGGTGGCCCAACCAGTTAAGGAGCTGAGTGTGAACCCGATCCTCTGCAAGGACATTGCTGCTGCCTTGGGCGGGCCACGCGCGTCGCCCCAGTGCTTGGCGACCTTCGCGTTTTATTCGAAAACTGATTGCAAACTGGACGTAGGAATACACTTCTCCCATGCACCCTTGGCCAGCATCATGACAGGCTCCAGCGTGGCAGTGAAGACGGGGTCCAAATTCTTGACTCCCGAGAGCACCAGCACTGCGGTGGCATTATTGCTTGCTGGCCGTGGCTCCACGGCTCTGACCGTGATGGAACGCATCCTGGACAACTCGCTGGAGTTGAGGCCAGCGCAGTTGACGCCGTGCATCGCCGAAGGGTGGAGGCCTATGAACGCAGCCTTGGCTGCAGCAGTGCGCCCGCGCCTTAGCCCCAAAAAAGCTCAGCACCTTGCCCAGGCGAAGCTCGGCGTTGGCTAGGCATTGCTGCCGAAGGGCCCGAACAGCGCGTCGCCCCTCTGCATGATCAGTGCCTTGGTTGCGCGCGTGACGCGCCCCTTGGACTCCAGCAACCTTGAGCAGGCGCCGTGATGTGCTGCTTGGCAAGTCTGGTGGGTCATCCATTACCTTAGACTTCTTGACCGCCATCTTGGGTTTAACGTTCTTCAGCTGCTGCACCAATGCACGAGTAGCTCCCGCAAGATCGCCGCCCTCCACGCGTTTGGCACCGCCCCAGCGCTGGTGCACCAGGTCGTCGACCACGATGGCTGGCGCGACGGCCCCGAACTGCGCGACCATCTCGTCGAGCGGCTGCGACAACGTGAGCTTCGTGAAGCCCGTGGCGAACGCGTCTCCAGCAAGCACCGCCTGGAAAACTTGCGACCCCTGCGAGCAGCACCCGTCTAGGTGCAGTACCCTCGGCGCGCGGTACAGAGAGATCTGCAAATTGGCCAGCCAGAGCGGAAAACCGAACTTGATGGCTGCCTGCACAAGGCACCGGTGCGAGACCTGCTCGAATGCCTTCCAAAGGTCCAGCAGGATGCTGGCAGATGCCCATTCTTGATCGGGGTGAAGCTCAGCATCATCGCAATCCACTCTGATCTCGTCTGCTGCTACCACACCGCTTTGTCACATGAGCGCCCTGGGCACGCCCGCCAGCGGGGCCTGTCACTGGCATTCTCCCACTGCTGCATGATGGGCCTGCGAAGCCTGCCGCGAACTCTGACCACCGCTGCCAACAACGCAATGGGTCGAAGGCCTCCATCTGCCTTGGGAATGAATGCCACCTTGGTGATGAAGCTGTGCCAATATGCTTGCTGCTCGATTGCCATCACCATCAATGAGGGCCTCAATGCCTAGGTCATCCATCAGGTTGAATTAATTAATTCACTTGGACGGATGCTGTCGAAGTTGGGCCCAGACTGAGGCTTGAAGGGCGATATCACTGTCCGCAGCTCGGCCACAGAAGGCATATCGGGCGCCTTCCGAGGTCCTCAGGCCAAGGCAGGCGGTGCCACTCAGGCTCGGGCTCCATCGGGGTCTTCGCGCCATGCGCACCACCACCTGCTGCCTGGTCTGGCAGGGCCCGGGGGGCGACGATGCCCCAGTAAACGGACCGCTCGTCGACCAACGCTTGCAGGCCCTGCTGAATGGTGAGCGGCGCCACACCAACTGCGTTGGCTGGCTTCGCATTCCAAATCTGAGCCGTCTTGCATGGATGCCGCCTGAGCCCGTGGCGATAGAGTGCAGCACCCAGTCGTTGTAGTTCTTGGAGGCTTGATCGGGACCCGTCTTGACCGTTGCGTCGGACCAGCTGGAACGCGCCGCACTGAGCGCCTCAAGCTGATCAAGGGAGAAATCCTGCGCGCCGCTGGCGATGATGCAGGCCACGCCCTGCAGCTCTGTGAGGTCGGACGGCGGCCTGCTAGCTAGCCTGCCTAAGGCACGCAGGGCTCCGAACCTGCTGAGCGGCCGCACGATCTGCGCTGCGTCTCGGAGACAGATTGCCACCGACCTGCACCAGGTCGAAGCTCGAGTGACGCGCGGCAGCCTAGGCGGCGACGGCGCCGTGGCTGTGGTGGCCGAAAGTTTTGGCCGTTCCGCATGGCCTGAGTGCCTGTCGAGGTCGTGGATGAGCCCGCACGCGTCAATCATGTTGACCTCCGCCTGCTCGACGAAAGCCTGCCACATGCTGTCTAGGTCGGTCATGCGCTCGAGCTGGTCACGAACGGCCCGCCAAGCTGAGCCATTATCCTGCGCGCAGCAGGCCAGCGGCCTGGGCAGAGGCAGCCGCTTGGCCGCGGGCATGACGGTCAGCTTCTGGTGCCTGCTCGGGCCGGGCAGCTCGAGCGCAACTGGATAGTGCGGGCTGAGGTCCAGCCCGTGGATAACGCTGGCCTTTGCCCCGCGGAAGAGCCTCGAGACCACGAAGTAATCGATGATCCTTCTTGCAGGTCTGCACGTGGCCTCCGCGGGCGCGGCAACGACCGCCTGCGCCGCCTCTAGCCAGCCAGACTCTTCCAAGACTGGCGGCTCCATGTTGAAGTCCCCGCACACGATGAAGGGCCTGTTGGCCGCCTGCAGGGCCTTGAGCACCGCGTAGAGGGCGTCGGCATTGCTCTGGTTGAGCCCGGCGTTGACCTCCAGATACACGTTGACCCACGCGATGCCGCCTCTGCAGACGCCATTGAGGTGGGAGATGATGGCGCGACCAGGCTCCAGCACCGCCTGCTTGCCGAGCAGGTCGAACGGCCCGAGCCCGAGGTGCTGGGGCGCCATATGCACAAGGCCTCCAGTGCCCTAGGCGCCAAAACCAGCGTTGATCGCTGGCGCTGTCTCCGAGGCCCATCCGAGCCGTCGAAGCTGCCCTTGAACGTCTTGGGTACGTTGCGAATCCAAATGCGTCTCTTGAACGGCAGCGAAGTCGCAGCACCTGACAGTGGCTGTGCCAAGCAGGTTGGCGAACCTCGACCACGCATTGCAGTTGACCGCGAGGCCAACCCACCAACGCCCTTGCTTGTCCGCCGTCCTGGGCATGAGAGAGGAACGATTGCCACCCATGACCCCGCTGAGGCCGCTACCCCGGGGTCTTGGAGCGTTTGGCGGCCCTGGGCGTGTCCAGTGCCTCCCGGAGCCTCTTCCTCTCGTTCTCGTCCGCAGCGCTGCCGAGAAGCTCTCCAGGATCCTCGCCCTCCATGAACCTGTCGAACTCGTTGCTGCCTGGATCGCCTGCCATGGGGGCATCGGCCTCATCTGCGCCACCACCTGCGCCTGCACCAGGAGCGCCTGGACCTCCACCTGCGGCTGGCACAGCGCGGGCAGGCTCTGGCTCGGGATGTGGTGGGGCTGCGGCAGCAGCCATCTTGCCCAGAATCGTGGCGAGGCTAGCCATGACCTCAGCGCCCGACTTGCCCTCCGCGTCGATGGTGGCGACCTTGTCTTTGACGGAGCGGAGCGTGTCCTCGGCCGTGGTGGACGAGTAGAGCTTCGCCGCCTGCTTCTTGGCCTGCTCGAGCTCCGCCGCGCGCTCGGCCAGGGCCCGATTCGCTTCTGCCAGCGCCTCCAGAGCCTTGCGAGAGTTTTCCAAGAGGCGCCCGCGCTCGGCTGTGGCGTCGGCGACAGCCAGCGATGCTTTATCGACTGCCGGAGGGAGCTTCCGCGCCTCCGGGCCCAAGACACCAGCGGCTGCCTTGCGACGTGTCAGCTCGACCTTGTCTCGACTGCTGCGTGAAAGTCCGTCCTTGACTATCTCATGCGACTCCATGGCCGTGGCTGCGCAGGCTGCAATTTTCTCTGGCGAGAGCGCGAGGGTCGCGGGAGCAGCAGGCCCTCCGCTGTTAGGTCCGAGCCCTTTGCCACCACGCCCTTTGCCGCCGCCGCCTTTGGGCCCCTGCTTGGTCCAGGGAGCTCCGAGGTTGCCGCCGCCGACTGCCCACTTACCCCAAGGCTTGTGGTTGTCGCTCGCTGCTGGTGCATTGTGGTCCGTCTGCTTGCCCTTACAGCCAGCCATGATACAGAGTGAGAAAATGCTGTGGCGCATAACCACCGCACCGCACGCACTGCTAGCACTTCGCCATGAGAGCCAGAGGGTCCAAGCGAACAGACAGAGTCGGAACAAGACTGCGCACCCTCGGGCTGAGGGAGGCAGGTGATGACCAGGGGCGGACCTGGCACCACAAGAGGATGAATCGCAAGCTCGGGGAACAGAGCTATCCCGCTTTCGCCCGGAGGCTTGCAGCCTCCCAAGCATGGAGCTTTGAGCCAAAATGGCTACGGAGGACATAAGGAGGCCTAGTTATGGGTGCCAATGGGGGCCTATGGGGGGCCAAAGGGCACATGGGGCCCTAGGGTGCCTCTGCGGGCCTGTGAGGGCCCACGGGGGCCTCTGGGGCCTAAGGGCGCCGATGGGGGCCTACGGGGGCTGGAGCCTGCCCCATAGGCCCCCGCAGACCCCCTCTCCCTCGAGGCCCCAGTAGGCCCCACCGGGCCCCCTTGGGCCCACCGAAAGCCCCCAAACGCCCCTGGGGCCCTTCGGGCTCTTCTTCCCCTGGAGTCCGGACTTGGTGGGGTGTCCGTCTCCTTTTCGGTTCCCACTGGTTCGGTTCTGGTTTTGGTCCACCAGTTCGGTTCCGGTTCGGTTCTGGTTCGGTTCCGGCTCGGTCTGGTTCGGTTACAATTGGTTCGGTTGTTTGCGGATCCGTACCAATCCGGTTCGGTTTTTTTATGTTTTGTGTTTTGGTTTGTTCGGTCCGGCTCGGTCACAGTTCTCAGTTCTCGGTTCGGTGTGGTCCCCTCATGCAAACGGGAATTCGGACCGCCAGCAAGGCAAATATGGGCAAACAATGCTTTCTCCTCAATCAAGCCTTTGCCACCCAATCCAGGGGAGGACGGCGGAGTACGGCGTTCCCACAGAGTGGCAGATTGATCGGGATGTGTATGTTGAGGACACAAAGGTACCGTCAGCTCGATTGATAGCGTGGGAGCTCGACGACGACTCCTTCAGGTCCGTCCTCGAAATCGTCGTTCACGTGAAACGCGTGCCGACTTTCTACCTGTGGAACGTCGTGGGTATCAATTTCATCCTTACCCTATCGACAGCTGCTTCTTTTGCCTCGGCTCCAGACGACTTCAACGGACGGTCAGAGATTCAGTTTTTACTCCTGTTGACCACTGTCGGTTACAAGCTCGTCACAGTAGCGTGGTTGCCAGTCAAGTCGTACATGACATGGATGGATATCTACATATTTATCAATTTCGGCGTACAGATTTTCCTCATCGCTCTGACATTTTTCTGCATACAGATGGCGTGCACATTGGTTTACGACGCTGATGGTGATTGGAGGAGGACGTCGAGGAGTAGGATGAGGAGTGGGAAGACGAGACCTATGAGGATGGAAAGCATTATCAGAAGGAAGACAACGGAGAGATAAAACAGGAACGATGACGATAGGATTGGGGAGGAGCAGAAATCGAGAGGATGAGGTGTAAACGCCTGCCCTTCTTGAGGCGATTGGACGGACGGGGCATACGACGGAATCTACTGGTGGCGAACCGCGCCCGACCGAGAGTGCTGGCCCGACCTGTACAAATTCCAGGAGTTTGTTGCCGTGCTGGTCTACGGGGCCCGAGGAGGAGGAGGAGGAGCAGCAGCAGCAGCAGCAGCAGCGGTTGAAGTAAACGGCAGGTGAGGCCGGGACGGAGAATGAGGGGGAGACAAGGGGAGAGGAGGAGCACGAGTCGAAAACGCTAGAAACATAAACTTGTGGCGCTCCGCGCGGATGTCTTGGATCCGCGCTGGAGCGCACAGGCGGCGCCAGCGCGCCCTGGCGCCAGGGAGGGGGTTCCAGCGCAGATCCAAGAAATCCGCGCGGACCGTCGAAAGTTTCTGTTTATGTTGTTGTTGTTGTTGTTGTTGTTGTTGTTGTTGTTGTTGTTGTTGTTGTTGTTGTTGTTGTTGTTGTTGAACATTATTAATTCTAAAGAATAATTATTGTTGGGACCCCTGGTGCACGGCCCCCCTGCGCCGCCTAGGCCGCAGCTACATTTTCATCATTTTCGTGAGGAAGCCTCAGGTAATTCGATGTGATCAAGATCCGGTTGTTTTGTTCCCCCCCGCTTTCCCTTGCAAAAAACACTATAAAATGACATTTCTTGTTCTAATATAATCAAATTTCAAGAATCCCTTGCAAAAAATAAGGTAAAGTGGACATTCGCGCGCGCAAGACGAAATCCTTCCAAAAGCTTAGTGTTCGGAGCGATTTTAACATAAAAACATCAAAAAACCAATGGTTTTTCAAAAAAAAATGTCAAAATCTCATCCCGCGCGCTCTTGCGGATTCGTAGGAAACCCAACACTTTTTAAACATTTCTGTCAAACGGGCTTTTGCGAGCAACTTTTTCGAACTTCTGCGACAACGGTTGCGCACCTGCCAGGGCCATCATCCCTGTCAAATAATACCATGCGGGACACATTCGTTTTTTCTTCGCGCGCGCACGCCGAAATCTCCAAAAACCATTGGGTTCTTAAGAATTTTAGCACCGCGCATCATAAAATCACACGAATCGCACCGTAGGTCCTCGAAAAACAGCTGCACGACTTTTCAAAATTTCCACCCGCGCGCGCTGTCCGAATCCTAAAAAAAACAATGGTTTCCCAACATTTATGTTACATGAGCTCGCGCGAGCTACTTTCGCACGCTCTTGCAACGGGGTTCGCGCGCCTGCCAGGGGCCATAATCCCTTGCGGTTGCGCCATAGGTTGCGCCCTCGGCCGCCGAGAATAAAACGCCCTCCTATTGGTTGCGCCATAGGTTGCGCCCTCGGCCGCCGAGAATAAAACGTTCCCTACTGGTTGCGCCATAGGTTGCCCCAGGAGGCCTTCAAGAGGCCCCAAGAGCCCGCCGTGAGGACCCAATAAGCCCCCAAGAGGATGCACCATGTCTAGCACTGGTAACAAAGGTATTTGTGTATCCCCACATCCGCCCAGGAATTCCACAAATGTGACCAACTATCTTGCGAGTACGTATCATCTCATGTGTGTCGTGCACACTATCAAATGTAACAGAGTTGTGTATTCCCATCATCCCAGGAACTTGACCCAAAAATGTGACCAACTCCGCTCTCTCTGTCTCTCTCTCTGTCTGCTCTCTGTCTCTCTCTCTGTCTCTCTGTATTATGTATTGTATGGCACAATTGCACCATGCTGGGCACATGCGCGCCCCGAATAAGTGACCAAGTTCTGTGGGTGTGTACCCCACGCCAGTGTAGTAGCCACGGTCGTCCGCACGCCACGAAGTGAAGTGTCCCAACGTCATAGGGCGGGAAGCTGGGTTTGGGTGGTCGCGAAGAGTCGTTTGGATATTTGGTAGAGCTTGTAATGCCCCCCCACGAAGTGGGGGTATTGCCTGGTGTCGTATGAAAACCCTGGCACTGGGGAGAACACCACGCGTTCGGGTAAAATGATTGTTGCTGTTGTTGTTGTTGTTGTTGTTGTTGTTGTTGTTGTTGTTATTATCTCATTCTTATGAGGGTACGTAGGCAGCAGCGGGATATACATGTGAGGGAGGAATGCGTGTATGAAGGCCTGGATCATCGGGCACTCGGTGTTCTTGGTCACCCATTTGTGCGGGCACACAGAGTGCCTATTCGGGGACTGGACTCGCGTGTACGACCGCAAGCGCATGCTCGGAGGGACGGTCACGTGCTACGACCAGTTTCCTTACGGCGACTCTGGGAGACGATCATCTACTGACACCATCTACTCGGAGGGGATAGCCATATGTCGGGCCGGGCGAAAGGGGGGGATTGGGAAAGGGGGGGTTACGAAATTTGCTGCATGCAGCTGGTTTCGGCCTCACCGAGGAGCCCATTCCTCGATACATAGCCGCCTCGGGCGCCGGGAGGCGCCGGGAAAATCAGCTACGTGAGCTGATTTTCAAACCCCCCTTTGCTATCCCCCCCTTTCGCCCGACCCGATTGTAGCGCCCTGTTCCGAACATCCGGTTCGCGACGTGCGCCTCCCCCCCGCTCGTGCCGCCTTCTTGCCCGGAAGGTCTTTGCCTCCGCCACGGGCCGCCGCCCCCGGGGGTCCCTGGAGGCTGCCAGGGGCCCCCACCGCCCAGAGGAGGAGGAGGAGGAGGAGGAGGAAGACGAGGAGGAGGAGGAGGAGGAGGAGGAGGAGGAGGAGGAGGAAGAGGAAGACGAGGAGGAGGAGGAGGACGACGAAACCCCAACGCTCACAAGGCAGCACCGGAAAGATGTCCGACCCGCCCTCTCCTCCCGGATCCTTCGGGTGGAGGGCAACATTCGGGGGCTCTCCTCCTGGTAAGGTTTGCTTCTGCCCCAGATCATATCTAAGCCCTGGAGGTCCCCGAGGCCAGTCTCCTCGATCCTCGAATGTCGAGGGACAAATGCTCGATTCTTCGAGTATCCCCACCAGACGCATGCGAACGCTGCCACTAGGACCGTCGGTGGAGCTCCCTATGGGGCCACGAAGCGTGTGAGCGGTGTGCCAATTGTGGGTGCGGTGGGCGCATGCGAACGCTTGCATGTGGGCCTTCGGTGGAGCTCCCTGTGGGGCCACGAAGCTTGTGAGGAGTGTGCCGCCATGGGTGCGGTGGGTGCATGCAAACGCAGTCAGTGGGGCCGTCGGTGGAGCTCTCCATGGGGTCACGAAACGTGTGAGGAGTGCGCCGCCATGGGTGCGGCGGGCGCGTGCGAACGCAGCCAGTGGGCCCGTAGGTGGGGCTCCCTGTGGGGCCACGAAACGTGTGAAGCGTGTGCCAAAATGAATGCGGTGGGCGCGTACGAACGCTGGCCTTTGGGCCTTCGGTGGAGCTCCCTCTGGGGCCACGAAGCGTGTGAGAGGTTTGCCGAAATAGTTGATTGGCGCGGAGGGCAGAGGCAGGGATGGGAGGGGGCAGCGGGAGGAGGAGGAGGAGGAGGAGGAGGAGGAGGACGGAGGACGGAGGACGGAGGAGGAGGAGGACGGAGGAGGAGGACGGAGGACGGAGGACGCGGGGCGTTGTCTTTTTCAAACCGAGGTCCCAACCCCACAGTCTGGTTGGAAATGATCACGTGCCAAGAACGGACGCAGGGCTGTGATGAGGGAGGGGGGGAGGAAGGAGGCGGGAACGCGGGGCGCTGTCTCTTCAAAACGCGGACCCAACACCACAGAATGGTTGGGGAAATATTGGGGACGACGGGACATGGAGGGGAAGAGGAACACCCAGGACTTTTGAACGATAGACAGAGTTTGGAACGTGTATCGATTTGGTTGCTTCACCCACTAAGGTCTATGTGCAACTGTTCTTCCTTCTCCGAACATCTCGTCGGACATCGGTTTCCTCGAGATGGTCTTCGGCAGGTCTTTTCAAAATCCATATTTTGACGCAGACTGACAAGCTCGGGAAGGGGATTGGGAACTTTTAAGAGCCTTTTTGCGTAAGCTTTGCTGAAAAAACAGCTCGAGACCGCCACATCCGGATTGTTTAATCTATGACAACCAGCAAAGTGATTGTTTCAACGCCGCCACCCAATACTTCTTTTGTAAGGCCTCCACTCAAGTAATCCTTTCGTAAGGTGTTCACTAGAAAAAAAACCGTTAGTGCTGCCGCCACTAAGGGAATTCTGTAGCACGGCCTCCACACAAGGATTATGTGTTGTTCTTTGTTTTGTTGCAAGGCCTCCACAACGAGAATCCTTTTGCACGGCCTCCACAAAAAAAAGACTCCTTGTGTAACGTCGCCACATAAGAAATCCTTGCGCCGAGCCGTCACAAAAATATGATTTTTGTTTGGCAAAACGAACTCTTTTGTGAGGCCGCCACAACAGGAATCTTCTTTCAAGGCCGCCACAAGGAATCCGTTTGCAGGGCCGCCCCCTAATAATCTTTCGTGGCGGCCTCACAGAAGGAATCTTTTATGTACGTCCAGCACACAAGGACTCCTCCTGTAAGGCAGCCGATTAGTTTTCGGCAGCCAGCCCAGGAAACCAAGGAAACCATTCAAAACCATGGGGAGTAAGGAAACATAGCACAAGACAATGAACACCATATTGTGTTTGCATAAATTTTCTGTGTGGATAATTGTTCCTTGTTGTGTCCATGGTTGTTTGCAATGTTTGCATATGTGCTCCGTAGTTTTAGAGGTGTTTTGTTCATTGTATGTTCATATGTTTTCTCTGTTCTAAATTTTCTAATGCGGTTTCATTGTCTGGGGGGGAGGTGCCTTGTTTCCGCTGTTGTTTTGCATTGTTGTGTTTGATATGTTTCTTTATTTTCATTGTTTCCTTGGGAGCCTCCGAAATTTGTCAGGCCGCCACACAAGGAATCATTTTCGTAAGGCCTCCACAACAAGGAATCATTGTGTAAGGCCTCCACAAAAGGATGTCTCCTGTACAGCCCCCAACAAACGGAATTATTGTGTAAGGCCGCCACGCAAGGAATCGTTTTGTAAGGCCCCCACAAAAATAATCCTGTGGTAAGGCCTCCACAAAGGGAGTCCTTGTGCACGGTTGCCACAAGGGGATTTCTTGTGTAGGGCAGCCACAAAGGGACTCCTTGTGTAGAGCCGCCACAAAAATAATCTTGTTGTAAAGCCACCGCCCAAAAAATCTTCGCAAGGCCGGTCCAAGAATAATTCTTTTGGAAGGCCCCCACAGTAGGAATTTTTGTGTAGGGCCGTCAGCAAAAAATGATTGTGTAAGGGTTCGCGCAAAGAATGTATGTAGGGCCGCCTCGAAAGGAATCCTGCTGTAAAGCCGCCAATCAGATTTCGGCAGCCAGCCGCGGAAAACAAGGAACATAATGAGCAACAGGGGGGACACGAAAAGCACAGCGAAAAACAATGAAAAACATATTACGTAGTGTGGTTTCATCGGTTCTCTTTGCGTGTCATTGTTGTTGCTGTCTTCTAATCGGTCTCCATTGGTTTGCATTGTTTTTGTTGGGTTCACATAAGTTGTCAGTCGTCCTCTGTGTGTTTTCGTTGTGTTTTCATATGTTGTTTTCTTTGGTTGTCATTGTGGTTTGTTGTGTTTTCGCAGTGCGCTTGTGGTTTTACATGGGTGCTTTTGTTCGATGTGTTTCCATGTTTTAAGTTGCTTTCGTTGTTTTTTTTGGTTCCCGGAGAGTTCCCGAAATTTGTCAGGCCGCCACAACAAGAATATTGTGCTTTGGCAAGGTCGCCACGAAGAGGTTTTTTTGGGGGGTAAAGGCCTCCACAAAAAGGAGCCCTTTTTTTAGCGCCCCCACTAATCACTCCTTTTGTTCTTCAGCCCGCCACAAAGGATTTCTAGCATCAGGCCGCCCAAAAAAAAGGAAATCCCCCCTTTTGGAAATGCAGCCACAGGTGGTGTACCTTCTGGGGGCTTCCTAAGCGATGCCAAGAGACGGCTTCGATGCATTGTCCGTGGGTGTCGGGCGCGGAAGGCTGGCGTTGGGGTTGATCGTGCCCACAGATGAGACGACGTCTCCCTCGACTGTAGTCTTTTGAACTGCAGCCACGGCGGACGCACCTTGGGAGGGTTTTGTTTCTTGCGCAAATATCTTCAACAGATCGGCGTTTCAAAGGGTTTGAATTCTGCGCATGTTCAATACATCCGTGGCGCGAGATGCTTGCCAAAAGAATCGGAAGATCAACGTGGCAATTGAGCCACGGTGGGCGCACCCCTTGAGCATTTCTTGTTTTACTCGTGGCGCCCAACAGGAGGCATTTTGCGCATGGTTTGTGGGTTTTGTCTGCGGGACTACTGTCACTAGAAACGTAGAGAGTGACAAGTGGCAACCTCGATTGTACCTGCTTCAGGAACTTCGGTCACGGTGGACCTTCCCCTTAGAGATTCCAGTGGATGTCGTTTAAAGGAACGAGGAATCCCGTGCATCGATCGTTGATTTTGAGCGCGGGATGTGTACCGCTAAGGACGTGCAGTTCAAACATGACAGAGCCGCAACTCCCAGCTGCCATGGAAACTCATCCACGTATGTCGGCCTTCTTGATGGACTCCTGCACCGCCTCAACTAACACTGTTCAGTTTCGCTCGTGTTGATTGGTTCATGGCTCACATGCCCTTCTCGACTGGCATTCGGCGAGGGTCGGAGCCAACGCATTATATGTTGGTTTTGGGCGTGGGCTGTCTGTTAGCCAGGGCGCCCAAACATTAAGCATAGAAAACAGCAACCTGTAATAGTAGGAGCATTAAGCAATCCGACATCAGTTCGTTTAGTTTCTTGTATACAGAATGTTGCACGCATCAGTACGCGGCGACGCATTGAAGACTCATGGGCGCACGCTCCATGCGGGGTTTTTCGGACTTGGCCGGTTTTACATGATTGAGGCGGAATGCGTTCGAGCGGCCAAGTCGCAGTGATGGAAACTGGTTGTACCTTAACAGGACGCAGTGCCAAAACCCCAAAACCGTTATCATCCACAACGCTAGCATCATACAACATAGTTCGCACATGATCGTCGTGACCGTCGCAGGCACACTTTGCATCGGCATCGTACCAGCTGATGAAGCTCGCGCGGTTGGACCCGTCATCATCGCCAGCACAAGATGAAGCACATACTACATTTCAGCTTCCAGAGGAAATCATCGCCATGACGAAAGCCACTATAGCCACGAGCGTAGGCCAGACGACAAAGCCTCCAACACCAGGACCGAGCAAGCAAACAATGCGCGTCGGTATATTGTTTTGTTGTTGTTGTTGTTGTTTTTGCGGGGGGGGGCTAGCATCGATTATTTGTGTGTTTCCCTGTTCGACTTTCTAGACAACGTGGCAAACGCCTGCTGAACATTTAGAGGCCAGGTGTCAACGCCTGGAGAGAAAGCGCAGCTTTTGGGGGACGCCCGAAGAAGTCTGGAAGCCTCCCTCCTCGATCATCGAGGGTCGAACGACAAATTGTGTGAGTTCTGCATCCCGTTCCGCCTCCTCCTGGTCTCCTCCTTCTCGTCTCTCTCGGACTTGGCCCGTCCCTTCGCACGTGGTTGGGTCATGCCTCGTCTCCTCCGTTTTTTCCTGTCCATTGCCGCCAGATCTCCGCCGTGATCAGGTACGTTTCGCCCCCTTCCCCATGATTGGCTTTTCATCCCGAGACGCAGAGGCCAAACATGTCTAAACAACAAAAGCAACAATTTTAAGGCTGATCGCTCTTCATGGCTCGCGTGTCACTCAACATGTATACCGCAAGCCTTCGACACCCACCATCTTCGTTTCCGATCGCACCTCGTTTGGGGGGATCTCTTGCTTGTCTGCCAGGGAACCAGAGGAACGAGGAAGGAGGGGGACAAATGGATTGGAAGAAGATTGAAGGCGGGGCCCTGACGATGGGGTTGGGCGGGCCAGCTCTAACTGGCGGGTCGGGCTGGCGGATCCTCGCGGGCGGATCGGGCGGGTGGGGCATCGCAGCGGTCGGCAGGGTCGCCGGGCGCGCGGACGGGTGGACCCTGACAGGCAGGATTGGCGGGCAGATTTTGACGGGCGGGTCGGGCGGGCGAATCCTAATAACGGGCGGTCGGACTGCGGACCCTAGTGAGCCGGGTCGGGCAGGAAATTGAAGCGGGCGGCGGTTTTCAAGCAGGCGGCCGGGCGCGCCCCGACGGGCGGGCGGGCCGCGCGGATTCCAAGGAGCTGGTCGGGCGGGCGGGCCCCATCGGACGGGCGCGGCGTGGAAACAATGGTTTGACATTTTGGGAGGGGGCCTCAGGCGAGAGCACGAGTCCTGAGTGACCTGTAGCGAGGTCTCGTGCGAGAGCGCGATTCCTTGGCGTCGTGGGCGCAGAGCACGAATTCATTCCAAGAACGTCCCAAGCGAGAGCGCGATTAGTTCGATATGAAGAAGTCCCGCGCAAGAGTGGAATTTTGAATGCACTGCGCAGGAATATCTGGCGGCAGCCACTGTTGTTGTAAACCCGTGGCCACGGGCACAGTTTGAGGCTCAAATTTTCCTGTAAAAAACCAGGGTGCGAACCCCCGGGGGGCACTTCAACTGAATGATCATCCATCTGGCGCCATTGGGGGGATCAACAATCATAATGTCCAGAAGCGAGAGTCCAGCGTTCGTTCTAAGACTGTTCGCTCTCCGTGGGTCGCGTGTCCTGCATCATGTGTGCCGCAAGTCCTCGACGCCCGCTCTATCCGTCTGTGATGCTATCCCGTTTGGGGGTATACCTTTCTTGCTTGCCGCGTGTAGTTGGCGCGGCCCTTATAGTAGTGGGAGGAGGATGGAACTGACGAGAGCGAGGAACAGAGAAGGATGACAGAAGAAAGGGGGGCGCGGACGGGGCATTAAAGCGGGCGGGTGGGGTTCCGAGCGCGCGAGCGGGCGGACGCTGACAGGTCGGTCGGTCGGGCGGGCCCTAAATGGCGGGTTGTGCGGTACATGGATGCGCGAACGGGCGGACCCCAACTGGTGGGTCGGGCTGGCGGACGCTGGCGGGCGGGTCGGGCGGGCGGGCCCTAACGGGCGGGTCGGGCGACCGGGGTAATTTGCGAAGACGCCTCAGGCGATAGTACGAATCATGAGCAGATTGTGAGGAACTCTCGTGCGAGAGCGCGATTCCTAGACGTCGGGAGCTTGGCGCCTGAGTAAATTGCGAGGAAGTCCTGGGCGAGACCGCGATTCCTGAGTGAATTGTGAAGACGTTTCGAGCGGCATCGCGGTTCTATGCAAATTGCGGGGAAGCGTTACGGGAACCGTCGATGTTGTTGTAGTCCAGGGGCCAGGGGCGCAGCGTGAGCGTCAAACTTGTACATACATACATACAGATAGATAGATAGACAGATAGATAGATATGTGCGTGTGTGTGGCATTGTCTGTGACTGAAGTGACGGGGTGTGGAAGCTAGCGAAAAGGTAGCAACCGCGGCCCATGCTCCTCGAAGTTTTTGACGCGGCGCACCTCCGACGGTCCGACGGTGCTCCCGGCTTCTGTGGACGATTCCTCCAGGTTCCCGCGCGGGAGATCGGTCGCGGCGCGGTGGCTGGCATCCCGGCCTGCTCGGCCGCGACCAGCGGTGGCGCGGACCTTTGCCCGCTCCCGCCGCCCTGCCCGCCGCCGCCCGCGTGGCCGAACCTGACCTGCACGGGGCTGGCCTGCCTGCGGGCGGTGTGCCCGCCGTGCCCATCCCTGAGCTGCCCTGAAAGGCATGTGTGGGCGCTGCTGTTCATCGCCGCGGCGCTGGACTTCGCGGTGGCGGGGCTGCGTTTGCTTCCAGGCCGGATCGAGGCAAACTTCCGTCCATGTAGGTGGTGTCAACGGGGCCAGGAGGCCTCCCTTTCCGGGGTGGCGGCATCATTGAGAGGGTTGATGCCCGGCAGTAGGATCCTAGTCCGCTACGTCGACGCTGGGGAGGACCTTTGGCATGAGAGAGTGTGCCTGTGGCCGCTGAATTTCGTCGAGTGGATCACCGAATCGCCCGACTGCGACCAGATGCTGGAGTGTCTGACGGGCGTGGACATCTCGGAGTTTGTGGTGTTCGCACCGTGCGGTTGGGTGCCAGGTTTGGTCACGTCGCTTCGGTTTCGTTTTCGCTCCTACACCGGAGCCCGTGCGTTGAGGGCGAAGGTGATCGAGGCGCGGCAGCTTGCTCGGCAGACGGCGCGGCAGGGCGATGCGCCCATGCCAGCGCCGCCATCCTCGCAGTTGTGGACGGGCCAGGTGGTCGCGCTGGAGGACCTCTGGAGTGGCTCGGGCCCAGTGCGGCGGCTTCGCGGCAAGGCCGCGCTCGCCGACGACGTTGTGCTGGGGCCGCCCGACGACTACGACGTCGGGCCTTGGGACACGGCCACCCCGCCGCCGACGGGCGAGGATCGTCGACGGACTCGAGGCGGGGGGCCCATCGTGGACGACTGGCCGGGCCACCGCTGGGTCGTCGGCGAGCTGAACGAGTTGTTCCCCCTGGGGACCGAGTTCACGGTGGCGACGATCCTGCCAGAGAAGAAGGCGTACCGCGTGGGGATCGGGTGCTGTTAGGCGTCTCTGGCACACCTGCCTCTGGCCAGACCGCCGAGGGTGTCGTGGCGTTGTCCCGAGTGCCGTCTGACGAAGTGGCAGGCTCCGAGAGCAGGCGCTGGAAGGAGAGATCGCCGCCCTGACTGATGCCGAAGGGCGCAGCGGGTGGCGAGCCTTAAGCCCTTTTGCCCGCTCCTGCCGCTGACCCGGAGGAGCGCGAAGAGGGCGCGAGGGCCCTCCCCGCGCAGCATGACGAGGAGCGCGAGCGCCTCCGTTCGCGGAGCGAGGCGGTCGCTGAGATACACGAGAGTTTCTACGAGGATTGGCCCGTCGAGGGCCCGCGCGCGATGCTCTGCATGGCCGAAGACGTCGAGCGCGCTGGCGGGTCGCCCATGCAGTGATCTCACAAATACTTGGCGGAGAATAGGATCACCTTCTCGGATCGGCTCGCGCGCGAGTTCCAGGGGATGCGCCGCCTACTGGAGCATGCGGGCTGCCATATGGCCAGCCGAACCTCGCGTCGCTGTCGCGTTCGAGGCGTTGGCGACGAGGGCGCAGTTCCTGCCTGGCGCGGCGAGCCGCGGGCCAGGCGAGGGGCACTTCGAGCACGAGGAGTTGCGTTCGGGACATCAGCAGAGGGCGGCTGGCATCGCTCCGGCCTCGACCGCCCGCGCGGCGACTCGCGCGAAGGAGAAAGCAGAGATCAAGACGCAGCGCCTCAGGGCCCAGCATCCGCGCAGCCGCGTCGCCGATGGCAAAGGCGGGCCCGAAGGGGATTGGAGGCGCTGATAAACCCCGCCGCGGTTCGCTCTCACTTCGGGGGGGCAGCGCTCTTGGGCGCGGTTTTTGTGCTCGGCATCGCGACCGTCGGGGCGCTGGGATTCATCTTTGCCAGAGTTCTTCCGCTTGCCGACGCCGGTGGAGGAGGGGCCCTGCTGTGCCGGGGGGAAGTCGAGGTGCGCGCCAGCGGGTCGCTCGCCGCCGGGCCGTCGTTCGCCGCGCCGACAACGGCATCGAGACCTTGAACTGGCTGAGCGGGCACGGCGCGATTGCAGCTGTCTGGGGGATGGGTTCGAAGGCGCAGGTCGAGGCCGCCCGGCGCGTCAGGGGCGGGGCGTCACGTTGTCAGGCTCTTGACGTCGTTCCGCGCCCGCGCGAAGCCGCGCGAACGCTTCTGCGTTTCCGGGCCGGCCACGACTCGGGCGAGCTCATCGAGCGACTGCCAGGGGGAGCTGTCGCGCAAGGACTGTCCGCGCGCGGCGGGCGCAGCGCCGCCTGCGGCTGCGTCTGCGCCGGTAGCTTTTTAAGAGCGCACGGTTAGGCCTGACGTCGAACTATGGGGCGCTACATGGACCAAAGCTTGTCGGGCGACCGTGACGCATGTGCCAGACTTGCTCGTCGGTTAGAGTCGATTTGCGCGCTGCGGCGGTGCGCTCGCTTCGGCGAAGGGGCGCGCCGATGTGTTTTGCGCGAAGAAGAAGCCGGGGAAGCAGAGGCTGGCGGTGGGCGCCCGCCGCAGCAACCGCCGATCCCGAGGCCCCCCCGGGGCGGAGCTGGCCGCGGCCGAGCCCCCGGGGCAGGTCGAGGTCGACGACGACTTGGAGGTGTTCATCAGCACCGGGGGCGCGTGGGACGCGTTCTACCGCTTCAAGATCCTCGCGAAGCTCGGCAGACGCCGCGCGTTGCTGCCCCCGCGGGCGGAGGAGCTCGGTCTTCGCGAGGTCGAGGGGGCCACGACCGCTGGGTGCACCTTTGCTTCGCGGCGTCGCCCGCGGGCGTCAAGCGGGCGCTCGACCTCGCGCGGGGGGCGGCGGCCAAGCGGGCGGAGACCGCCGCTGGCGCGGCCGCCGAGCGGCGCCGGCAGACGTTCGGCGGGCCGCGCTCGATCGCCTCGGGCGGGGGGGCCCTCCGTTGCATGTACGTGGGAAACGCGGGGCTTCTTGGCTGCCGGCCTGAGGGCGCACGGATGAAGGAATACCAAGCCTGCGCCGCTATCGACGACGTGGGCTCGACCCTGGGAGAGCAGGTCGACGCTCGGGCGGAGTCTGAGGCGATGGGCGTGGCGATCGACGGCCGCGCTGGCCTCGTGGTCACTGTTCTGAAGAGGATGTGGAAGGTGGACAGCCTGCTGACGCGGCTACTGAATCGCGGCGTCGACTCAGGTTATCAGCTGGAGGCGACTGCGGGCCACCTTGCGGTCATTTTCATGCTCCGTTTTTGTTTGCCATTCGCCAGTTCATCCGCAGTGTGGGACTGAGCAGGCGACCTCTGGCCCTGGGCGCGGGCCGAGCTTGGCGCAGCGCGCGCGGTGCTGCCCTGCGCTGCTGGGGGCACGCAGACCTCTGGCACTCGCTGGTGGACGCCGCGCGCAGCGGGCGGCTCCGGGCCCGCTGGGTGCCAGCCCACAAGACGCCAGCGGAGGCGTGCCGCCTGGGGCAAGTAGCAAGCGGAACCGCCTCGGCAACGCGGCGGGCGACGGCAATGATGGCGCGGCAGCGGCCAGCATGGCGCCGCCGCCAGGCGTGGTGCGCGCCCGCTGCCAGGAGCTGCAGCTGCTGGAGGCTGTGCGGCGCGTTATGGCCGCCGCGCAGCAGGCCGCCTTCGCAGCGGCGCCGCCTGCCGCGCGCCGCCGCCAGTGCGACTGGCGCAGGGTTCGCCGCGGCGCCCGGGCCCGCGCGGCGTCCGCCCCGGCGGCCGACGCCCCCGCTCGCCAGGTGGCGCAAGCGCTGGCCAGCCCGCGCCGGAGCGGCGCTGATGCGCCCGTCAGCAGTTGCGACATGCTGGCCGCGTTTTTCGCCAGGCGTTCTTGGTGGCCCCACGCCCTCGCGCGCGGGTCCGGCCACGTCTTCTGTCTCCGCGCGGCGGTGCGACGTCGGCAGCTGGCCTGCTGGGGAGCACGTGCCTGGGCTGGCGGGAGCGTCTGCCGGCGCGGTGCCAGGCGGCGCTGCTCCTTGGCGAACTGCCCTGCGCGGGAGGCAACGCGGAGGCGAATGCATGCCTGGCTACGCAAAGCATTGTGCAGTTCCAAAAGGTCCTGGACTGAGCCTTTGGGTGGGGTCGAGCGCCGCGGCTGCGCGCGCGCTCGCGTGCGCGCGTCAAAAAAAAATCTCTTGGGGCCAAACAGGGTCGACGTCAAGGTGCTTCTTTGGGAGGCCTCTTGGGGTCTTTTGAGAAGCCGTTCGGGGGCGCCTGGAAGGCATTTCTGAAGCCTTCCGGGGCCTCCTGGGGGCCTCCTGGGGCCTTTGGGGGGCCTCTTGGCGGCATCTTGGGGCCTCTTGGGGGCCTCTCGGGGCCTCCTGGGGCCCTCTTGGGGCGAAGGCTCGGGTTTTCAGTTCGTGGCCCCTCTCTTGGGCCCCTCTTGGGGCCGTCTTGGGGCTCTCATGGGCCGTCTTGGGCGCCTCTTGGGCCGTGCCGTCTCGCGGCCCTCCTGGGGCCCTCTTGGAAGCCTCTTGGCCCGTCTTGGGGCGCTCTTGGGGGCCTCTTGGGGGCCTCTTAGGCCGTCTTGGAGCATCGGAAGCGAAAAGGCGACAAAGCTAATATCCTTCCAAAACAATCGTAACATATATGAGTTTGGCCTCTCGGGCCCTCTTCTGAGACCTCTTGGAGGCCAGTTGGAGGCTTCTTGGGCCGTCTTGGGGTCATCTTCGGCGTCTTGGAGCGCTATTTGGGCGTCTCGGGGGCCTCTTGGGCAGTTTTGGGGGCCTCTTGGGGCCCTCTTGGCGCGTTCTGCGGGCCTGAGAGGCCGCGCCCACGAGGAACACCATCTTTGTGTCGGACCGCCCGGGACCTTGCCGGGATCTTGCCGGGGTATTTTTCGTCCAGGGACCCCCAGGGGCCGCCCCGCGCGCGCGAGCTAGAAATATTATTAACCAGTTACCGGAGATCTTAGCACGCCTCTGGCCCGTTGGGCTAGCGAAGTATATATATATATGTATATCGGAGGTAGGGGGGTGAGATCGCAGTGGAACGGAGACCCCCAACCGGGAAATCGCTTCGTTTCGTTCGTGTCGCGCGTGCGGGCGAGGCGAAGCTGCGTGGGCGCGCGAAGGGAATGAACCCGCCGCTGCTAGGGCGAAATCAAGACAAATGATTATCCCCCTCCCGCCCGTCCGGCGGTGGCCACCGTGGTGTCCCGCGGTGTCCCGTGGTGTCCCGTGGTGTCCGCCGTTGATAAGGCGAAGTCAAAACAAATTATCCCAGAGCGACTCTACCTGGGAGTTGGAGCCCCGAGGAAAGCAATATTAGTAGTAACGGTAAACGCCGTCCCCCTCTTCTTCATCGTCGCAGTTGTAGCCGTAGCGGTAGTAGTAGTAGTAGTAGTAGTAGTAGTAGTAGTAGTAGTAGTAGTAGTAGTAGTAGTAGTAGTGGTAGTGGTAGTGGTAGTAGTAGTAGTAGTAGTAGTAGTAGTAGTAGTAGTAGTAGTAGTAGTAGTAGTAGTAGTACTAGTACTAGTACTAGTACTAGTAGTCGTAGTCGTATTAATAGTAATAGTACAGCTTAATACCTACATCTACACCCAGACCGACATCGACATCTACACCTACAGCTACATCTACATGTACACATGCATATACATCTACATCTACATCTACAACTACACTCACATCTACATCTACATCTACACCTACACCTACACCTACATGTACATCTACATCTACATCTACATCTACATCTACATCTACACCTACATCCACATCTACACCTACACCTACATCTAAATATACACCTACACTTTCGCATTGGTTTTGTTGTTGCTGATACTTTGCCTTTGCTTTGATGCTATTATATGCCATGCCATGCTGCGTTATGCTATGCTATGCTATGCTATGCTATTTGCGCTATGCTATGTTATGATATGCTAGGGTATGCCAGACTGCGTTATGTTATGCTAGGCTATGATCTGCTATGCTCTGCTGCGCTATGATATGCTATGCTATGCTATGCTGCGCTATGCTATGCTATGCTATGCTATGCTGCGCTATGCTATGCTAGGCTATGCTATGATATGATATGATATGCTGCGCTATGCTATGCTATGCCATGCCATGCTGCGCTATGCTATGCTATGCTGTGTTGCGTTATGCTATGCTATGTTATGCTAGGGTATGCTAGACTGCGCTATGCTATGCCAGGCTATGATATGATATGCTATGCTGCGCTGTGCTATGCTATGCTATGCTATGCTATGCTGCGCGATGGTATGCTTTGTTATGCTATGCTATGCTGCGATATGCTATGCTAGGCTATGCTATGATAGGTTATGCTGCGCTATGATATGCTATGCTATGCTATACTGCGCTATGATATTATATGATATGATATGCTGCGCTATGCTATGCTATGCTATGCTATGCTGCGCTATGCTAGGCTATGCTATGCTATGCTATGTTGGTTATGTTATGCTATGCTGCGCTGTGCTATGCTAAGCGAAGCTATGCTATGCTAAGCGAAGTTATGCTATGCTATGCTATGCTATGCCATGCTGCGCTATGATATGCTAGGCTATGTTATGATATGCTATGCTGCGCTATACCAGGCTATGCTATGCCATGACATGATATGATATGCTATGCTATGCTAATGCTGCGCTGTGCTATGCTAAGCTGAGCTAAGCTAAGCTGAGCTAAGGCTAGGCTAGGCTAGGCTGAGCTAAGCTAGGCTAAGCTAAGCTAGGCTAGGCTAGGCTAAGCTAAGCTAAGCTAAGCTAAGTTAAGCTAGGCTCAGCTAAGATGAGATAAGCAAAGCTAATCTAAGGGGGCGCAACTGGGGGAACCGCGGGGCGGATACTGGGGGAACCGCCCCGGGCGCTTTCCACTGCCCGGCCCCTTTAAGCCCAGAGAGTAAGAACCCTTCTAGGCAGAGCCTAGGTAGGGAATGATTATCCCCCTCCCGCCCGTCCGGCGGTGGCCACCGCGGTGTCCCGCAGTGTCCTGTGGTGTCCCGCGGTGTCCCGTGGCGTCCCGCCGTGGCTAGGGCGAAGTCAAGACAAATGATTATCCCCCTCCCGCCTGTCCTGCGGTGGCTACCGCGGTGTCCCGCGGTGTCCCGCGGTGTCCCGTGGCGTCCCGCGGTGTCCCGTGGCGTCCCGCCGTGGCTAGGGCGAAGTCCACATAAATGATTACCCCCGTCCCGCCCGTCTGGCGGTGGCTCGCGGTGTCCCGCGGTGTCCCGTGGTGTCCCGCGGTGTCCCGCGGTGTCCCGTGGTGTTCCGTGGTGTCCCGTTGAGTGAGACCGATAGCGAGATCGATCGTGAGATCGATACTGAGACCGATGTGGTGCCCCGTGTCCCGTTGTGTTTCAAAAAGTGAGATCGATAGTGAGGTCGACAGGTGTCCCGTGGTGTACCGTGGTGTCCCGTGGTGTCCCGTTGAGTGAGATCGACAGTGAGATCGATAGTGCGAGCGATACTGAGATCGATGTGGTGCCCCGAGGTGTCCAGTGGTGTCCCGTTGTGTCCCAAAAAGTGAGATCGATAGTGAGATCGATGGTGAGATGGACAAGTGTCCCGAGGTGTCCCGTGGTGTCCCGTGTTGTCCTGTTGAGTGAGATAGACAGTGAGATCGATTGAGTCAGATGTTGGTTTCCGCCTTTTCCCCCTACACACAATCTCCTTCTCACCCGAAGGGTGGTCGTGTAGGTAATGAATCAACATTTATGCGGCTTGTTATACAGGTAAAGATCATTGTTTGTTCTGTGCAGCGCACGATGGGATCGGATGTGGTATGCTCACGGTCCAGATTTCTCAACCAGATGTCTCACCAGGTACACATTCCGACTAGCTTATCACCTGGACGTTTCACCCTGCCATGTCAGCTTGTTGGCCTAAGAGGTCAGTGCCGTTTGTTGCCCTTCTTGTGTTGTGCCTCCTCGGGGGGTGTTTTGGTTTTTGCTTAAAAATATCGGCAAACTTGTCGGCGCGCTGGCTGATCATTGGTACGCGCGCCTGGCTCCCTACAACCTTGTGCCGTGCACAGCGCCGCCAAACAGCGCCTCTGCTTTGCACCCTGTCGATCTCTCCCATGCCAGTTGCTATTGCTGATTGTGTCCCCCGTGCATCTTCCTTCCTCCCCATCACCTTGCACCCGCGATTATTACTCGATATGGTTACTACTCTCCCCTGCCTCCTGAGACTTGCTGTGCAGGTTCGCCCGCACCTCTCCCATGTGCTGTTCTCTCGGCACAATTGTACACATGTGCGTTTGCTATACTGCTTATGGTCATGCAGATCGTTTTCGCCCTGGTTTATGCTGCGCGTGTTTTCCACTCGGGTCGTCTTCGGCCGTCCCGAGGGGCGCTCTTGCTTCGGCGCCTGCCTCAGCCATGCCCCCCCCTTCCATTACCCAGTGCGAGTGCTACTCTCCTGTCCCCGCTGATACTGTGCTGGGTTGCCCGCGCTCCCTTTGCGTATTTTGCGCGCGCACACACACACACTCACGCACACACACACACACACGCGCACACACGCACACACACACAAAAACACACACATACACACACACGCGCGCACACACGCACACACACACACACATACACACACACGCGCGCACACACGCACACACACACACACACACACACCCGTAGCCATTTTGGCTCAAGATGATTTGTTCCACAGGGGAACGAGTGGATACCGCTAGTCCGCGGCCAGTGCCAGGGCTTCTCCGCCCGACAGTTTTGTTTCGGGTGTTGGCAAGGGGTAGGCTGTGCGCTGCCCACTCGCCATGTCCAGTGCCTCGCAGAGGGCCAGGTCTGAGCCGCGGGCCAAGGGCGGCGGCCGCAAGGGCAAGAGCAAAGGAGTTGGCAAGGCAGGCAAGACCAACGCGAGCGGAGCCAACCCCCTGGACTACGTCCGCTGTGCGAACTGCTCGTACAAGTGGAACTTCAAGGCCAGGGTGGAGTGCTGCAACTGCAAGAAGCCGCTCAAGCCTGCCGCAGTGGACGAGCCTCCGCAGCTACGGGCATCGGCGTGGTCATTCGCGCGCGAGCCGTGGGTGCGGCACTCTGACGACTGGTTCGGGTACGAGGCACCCCCACCGCAGCCCGCCCCGCCGTCGGATGCAGAGTGCCTCGCGGCGTTGGCGGCCAGGCATCCCGAGCACGGCCAGCAGCTCGAGGCCATCAAGATGGCAGTCGCACCACCGCCCGTTGCGGCCACGGCGTTGCCAGATGTGGCCCTCAACCGCGCCCAGGCCAAGCAGCGGCGGGCTCAAGCCGCCTTCCTCTCCAAGTCCCAGCAGGTCCACGACGCCGAGCAGTGGCTCCAGGCCTGCCGAGAGGAGGAGGTGCGTGCTGGTGAGCTCGTCCTGGCGTGCAACGTGGAGGTGGAGGAGGCCTACAAGGCAGCAGCGCCCAAGGGCGTCCAGGTGCAGGCGCAGGAGGCGCAGGAGCCTGGCGCCAAGGCTCAGCCTGCCGTGGGCCTCAACGTCACGGCGCTTTTGGCGGAAGACTTCCAGGTCGAGGCAGGCGACGCCTTCAGGCTGGACGACCCCGACCTGGACATCACCGACACGGAGCGCGAGGAGTTCAACAAGTCCCTGGAAGGCTTCGTCGAGCAAGTCAAGCAGCACGTGCGCACCACCTTCGGTGAGGCCAAGACGCAGCTGGAGCAGAGGCGCAGCGAGATCGACGCCAAGCACCAGCAGCTGCTGGCCAGGCGCAAGCGGCCTCGCACCGAGGCGGCAGGAGCAGCAGACCAGCCGCCAGCCCAGGCGCCAGCCGCAGGCCCTGCGGCAGCAGGCCCCGCGGAGGCCCCAGCGGCCGCCGCGGCCCCAGCCCAGGCCCCCACCCCTGGGCAGCCTGAGGCCCCTGCTCGGCCTCCTGTTGCTCACCCTCCAGAGCCACCCAGCCTCCGCTGCCCCGATGGCGCAGCCAAGTTGGCTCAGCTCAGGCGGGACTTGGAAGCAGCAGCCGCCGTTCCAGCTGGGGACGCAGATGCGTAAGGCCCAGACCTGGGGACCTGATGCGCCGCCAGAGGCCAAGCCACGAGAGCCCAGACTCGTCCGCCTGGGCAGGCGGGAGCGGGCCATCCTGGCCACGCGTATGCGCCGCATGGCTCGGCACTGGCGCCCTACCCCGTCGCTGGGGACCACGGCTCAGGACCGCAGGCACTGGGACTCCTACTGCGTGCCGTACATCTTCCACCAGCTGGGCTCTGGGGAGTACACAGCCATGCTGGACGACCTGGCAGCCACCACGGGCAGCGGATCCCGAATTGCCGAGCGCATGAGGATTGCACGGGAGTTGGGTGACGAAGCCTGGAACCGTGGAGGGGATGCCAGGCGCCTCCAGCGGCAGTGGCTGGAGCATCTGCAAGTGGCTAATCAGGATGCTTTCGAGCGTGAGGCGGCTCAGCAGGACCGCACCCAGTCAGCCGCGGAGCGGTGGTTCGACCGCCAGTCCCAGGCGACGTCGGGAACGCAGGCCCCCACCGTCTACTTCGACGACCGCATCCACTGCTGGAGGTTGTGCGCCGCGAAGGTGCTGGAGGCCGACCTCGGCCCATCCACCTCGACTGGGACCTCGGAGGAGCCGCTGTGTTGCTCTGCCTCGCCCGTTGAATGCACCGAGCTCACTCCCACCCCAGCCGCGTGCAACCTCACGGACGAGCACCGAGGAGCTGCCCCATGTATTTCAGCTGGTGGTCTCTCTGCCGTCCGAGGCAGCCCAGATCAGCTTACGTCAGTTGGTGGTTTCTCTGGCTCAGCTGTTTCAACGGGCGATGGTCTCTCGGCCGCCGATGGTGGCACCCAGGCGCAGCTTATTTCAGTCAGTGGTGTTTCGGGCTCTACAGTTTCCACGGATGGTGGTTTCTTGGCCGCTGGAGGCACCCAGGTGCAGCTTACGTCAGGCCGGGGCCCCTCTGGCTCAGATGCCTCAACTGTTGATGGTTTCTCTGTCGCCGTTGGAGGCACTCAGGAGCAGCTTACGCCAGTTGGTGGTTGCTCGGGTTTTGCTGCTCCCACAGGCGGGGCTTTCTTGGCCGCTGGAGGCCCCCAGGCGCAATTTACGCCAGATGGTGGTTTCTCGGACCCAGTTGTTCCAGCAGGTGTTGGTGGCTCTGCCCACGGAGGCAGTCAGGCGTTGCTTACGTCAGTTTTTGTTTCTGCAGGCTCAGCTGTCTCATCTGGGGAAAGCCACTGCGGCCCTGGGCAGCCTAACATCATCGAGATGGCCCATGAGACTGTGGCACACCCTACCGAGGGCGGGGACGTCAGTGTCGGCAGTGTTGGCGGCCAGTCCACCTGCAGCGGGACTCCGGCAAAGCCCCAGTGCGACGTCGCCAAGTATCGACCCTCAGCAGCAGGAGCCCGCAGAGGCAAGCGTCGACAGCGGAGCCACAGGCGCTTCACCTTCCACAGCGTCAATGCCAGCCTCAGCTGGGGCAACGTTGTGGGCTACCTCCACGGCGCGGCACACCAGCAGCTCACCGAGGGCAAGATTCCGATCATCGGTTTCCAGGAGCACGGCAAGCGGCGTTTATGGGCCGAAGAGAGCGCACGGGCCCTGGCGCCCTTGGGCTGGAGGGCCCTGCCCACGCCAGCGACGGACGGCCCGAATGGAGGGGCCTCGGCGGGTGTCTTGCTGGCGATACCTGCCTGCGTCGGCGTCACTCTTGCATCTGGACAGCGACACTGGGACATATCTCCCCCAGGTTGTGCAGGCAGGCTCCTGATGGCCACCCTCGAGGCCAAGGGCATCGGCAAGTTACTGGTTTTCTGTGCGTATTGCTTCACTGGTCAGAAGTTGGCGTCTGTGGGCAATTCAGCTCTCCTGTCAGTTATCACGGGGTGGGCAGTCCAGCTCCAGCTGCCCTGGATCGTCATCGCGGACTGGGAGAATCTACCTGACGCTTTGGAGCGTTCGCCGTGGAACAACCAGCTCAGAGGCCGCGTCGTAGCGTGGCAAGGGGAAGGGGGCACCAACCGCTCCCCGCACGGTGAGCGCGTGATCGATTATTTCTGGATGCACTCCAGTTTGGCTGCCAATATTTCCCCAGCTCGCATTGACGACGACGCGGTCTACCACCCTCATAGAGCCACATGGGTCGAGTTTCAGCAGCCTTGGTCGGCCTTTACCTACACCAAGCTCATCCGACCCCACAAGTTCCCGATCCCAGGAGTCAAGCCGAGGCACTTCGATCTCTCGTGCCCAGACGTGCCTGCAGGTTTCGACCCCGATGCGGTGCCTACCCAGGAGCTCCTGGACGACACCTGGGAGGCTTTCTGCCACGCCGCCGAGGAGGAGCTGATCCAGAAGGTGGGTTTGGACCCCAGCAGTCGGCAAGCCGATCAATGCCGAGGGCGTGGGGGACCACCGCGCTTCAGGAAGTGCCCGTTGCTCCCGACCCACACCGAGGCCATCGCTTCGTACGGGGAGGCCAAGCGTTGGAGGTGGTTTGCCAACGAGTTGGCTTGGCTGGGCATCATTGAAGTAAAGCTTTTCAGCTACACGGGCGCTTCCGACCTGGCCCTCACCACGTTGCACCAGCAGCGGCACGCCTCCATCCGCAAGTTGCGTGACCGCTTCAGGCACCACATGCTGTTAGAAGGCGTGGCGGAGCTGCAGGAGTTCTTCGAGGTTTTCACGTCTCGGGGCCGCGGCTATGAAGACTTGCAGGAGCTCTCGGCTTGGCGCCTCAGC